ATATATATATATATATATATATAGATGTATATATATATATATATATACACACACACACAGGTATATAAAGGCGTTTAAACCCTTCCCACACTCTGGCAATATTCAACAATGTTTCTAAACTCTAAACCCTCTAACAGAGCACAGAATGTCATGATTTCAACTCCCTACCTCCTCTCAGCCACGGCTGCTCTTGGCCAAGCACTTCTCCGCTGCAGAACGGAGACTGACAGAGGAGGAAGGAGGAGAGAGGAGGAGCTGCAGGAGGAAGTTTCTCTTGCTGTGTGGGCTGCACAAAGGTGCAGCAGGTTCTAAATAACTTAAAATAATTAATTTTGAATAAAAATTCCATGCTGATTGTGCGGCTCATCCATCACGCAGACAATTTGTGTGTCATCATGTCCAAACTTATTTTGAAAAACCGCGATGGAGGGAGTCCGTGAAAAACAAACCATTGCTCCATTCAGGTCTGCTTCACATATTCTTATTCCATTAGTACAGCTAGTTTTATTTGGGTGGAATAGAATAGAATAGAATAGAATAGAATAGAATAGAATAGAATAGAATAGAATAGAATAGAATAGAATAGAATTTATTGTTCCCTAGGGGAAATGTGTCATGGACTCAGGGGTGTATATAGCAGCTGCCCAAACAGACAGTAAATACACATACTATTCATATAAGCAGCTAAAAATGAAGATTACAAACACAACAGTTTAAAAAACAACAGAGAACACCAAAGTTCTTGCACACCTTCCAGGCCTCAACATATTATCTATTTTAAATTTTTATTCAAAAGTTTGATGGAGGTGGGCACAAACAGATATTTAAAATGGTTCAGTTTAGGTTTGGGGACTCTGTACCTTCTACCGGAAGGCAAGCGCTCATATTCAACATAGAGGATGTGGGATGGACCCAGCTGTACCCTCTGTGCCTGCCTAAGTACCAACTGCTCATAGATGGACTGCAGGGAGAGCTTTTCGGCCCTACCCAACACCTTCGTAGGAGTCCATACTAGGCTCTCCAACTTAGATTTAGACTGAATGGAGAGATTACCGAACCATGCCGTCATCCCATACCTGATACCACCCGCCATCACTGCCTGGTAAAATAAAAACATGATGTTCTGACTGACACCAAACATCTTCAGTCTAAGAAGAAACAAAAAACAGCCTTTGCTGTAAACGGGGGCCTACATGTTCAACATGGTCACTGCAGTTTAAGAGGTTATCCAGGTGAATACCCAGATACCTATAAGAAGTGACCTGATTCATCTCCTCCCTGTGGATGGACAGTGGAGTATGATCCCCACTGTCCGGACCAGCCATGCTACTTGTAGCATACAAAGAACTTACTGTAACGTCTTGTAAAATCTTGCCAGGTCTTCAACACAAAAGCTACTCTGAACTTTTCCCTCAGGTCAATTTGCAGAACCTACAATTAGCTGTTTTTAATAACCTCAATGGGAAGGTTCAGTCTGTTGTGTCTCAACCAAAACAAGAACTAAATTACACAAGTGACAGAGAGCTCAAAGCTATGAGGGAAACCTGGAACATGACATTACTGTCTGAAATGCTGTGCAATTATTTACAATGTGATGTTTATATATAATTAGTTTTTACATGTACTTTGATGGTAAAGCAGGCATGTACTGTGGAAGTCTTCCAGTTTAAATGTAAAACGTATTGCTGTAACCTATTTATTAAGATTGAAATGTGAATTTTCAGTGTTTACAAAAAATAGATTTCTTGTAGGACTGAAGAGGAATATGTGATGGATTCCACAAGAAAGCAAAGAATCTGCAGAGGTTGGGGAGAGCTGCGGCTGAGTGGTTAGAACGGTCGCCCAATGGGAGTGGTGGTTCGAATCCACCTGTAGTCACATGTTGAAGTGTCCCTGGGCAAGACACTGAACCCCTCATAGCCTCTGATGTGTGTCCATCAGTGTATGAATGTGATGAAGCTCTGATTAGTCTCTTTAGAATGATTTGTTCATTTAGCTTTGTAGAGATCTAGTATAGAGCTGTATGATTGTGTGTGTGTGTGTGTGTGTGTGTGTGTGTGTGTGGTAGAGTGCTGTATGAATGTGTGTCAGGAGATAAACGAGTGCACAGAGTGTGTTGTAACGAGCTTTGTTTATCTGATGTAGATAGAAAGGAGCTGTATAGGTACAGTCCCTTTACTGCTCATTATATTTACAGTTATGTGTAAATATAATGAGCATCCTCTGAAACAACTAGATATTTTGTTGGTTTTGGAAAACAACTAAACTTCTATATCAAAAAGTTAGACTGATCAAAAACACTGAAAGTCAGTTCAGATAATTTGAAATGTGGTTCTGTAAAAAGGTTATGAACAAATAGTATCTTACCTGTTGTAGATAGCTCTTTGGATCAAAGTTATGTCAGTTCAAAGAAACGTTTAGCTTTGATTGGGTCGATCAGTTATCGGCCAGGCCAAGACTAATAGCACAAAATTCCTGTACTCTTAAACAACTATGAACAAAATATTTATTGTGGTTCACATGAATGCTACTTTAACTTTACATCATTGATAATTTTATATTACACAATTAAATATGTGGAATCCTACAGTGTTTCTGCTCGCACTTACAGCTGGCTATAACTTGTCTGATGCAGCCTGGGGCGCATCCTGCAGGAATATTATATTCCTGTTTAAATAACCATGTAATGTGAAACTGGTTGTGATGTAATATATATATATATATATGTTTATAAAATGGAGTTCATATGAACTGCTGTCAAATTCTCTTGATTGGAGCCTTTAAAAGATGGAAGAAATCTATTTTGGTTTTAGCAAGTCCCAGATTAGTCATTAACTTGCAGTCTGACCAGAATTAAACTCTATTTTGCCAAAATAAGGTCTTTAAGGTTAAAAAAAAAAAAAGTACATTTTTTACAGATCCCCACCTTGAAGAATTGGGACTGTTACTTTTGTGCATTGTTAACTATTTGATGAAACAAACAAAACAAAATTCAAATCATTCATAATTTGCTCGTGGATGCACAAACATCTGCACAGAACTACTTTTGAGGACTTTCTAATGTACTGTAATCTGTGTCATTACGCTATGTGATTCTTTAAAGGGAAGGTTAAGGCTCTTTGTGATGTACTGAACCTGTATTAACTTTATCAGAACCTCTTATGTTCATAAGAATTTGTTAATCTGGTCGATCTTTTCTATTCTTTATTTCTTCAATGCACTGAATTCTCTGTGTGTAGGCGTATTTCAGGGAAATCTATTCTAAACTTTGATTAATCAAAGTAACTTTTGATTTCCTTCTGTATAGCTGCCCAACAGAACATGCATCAAGAGATTTTCCAACATAATTTTTCACGTCTATAAAGTACAACAGTCTGTATATCATATAAAACTACCAAGATTCTGTCAAAGCTGCGTCTTGTACCTGCTGACGATTCCCTCCAGGATTTCAATATTTTACCTAGCTTTAAACAAAACAACACAAAAAGCTGCCAAGACAGCCTCATTTCAGTCATGTGTCCAGAAAATGATTGCTGTTTGGACTGCACATGATATGAGCGACTGTAAATAGACGGGGTGGGAGTTGGATAAAGATTAAAAGCCCGATGTTTCTGGCGGCTACGTGTGCATCACTAGCAGGAGCATGCTTTTGGGTTAGTGGTAGATGTACTTTAGTTTCTTGGTGAGCAGTTGTGTCTGAGCATCATGGAAGCTCATTTTAAACTTTAACTTACTTGTTCTGAAAAGATTGTGTGATTTAGCAGCACACCTGCTTTGAATGTGTCCGGTCCAGCAGGTGAGCTGTACGTAAAGGTTGTTGTCAGTTTTTCAGTCGCAGACCGTCTGTCTGCAACGGCTCTACCAGCACTTTTCATTAACCTTCAGCGTTATGTATAATGTGTAAACAGGGTCACATGCTCTCAAATGAATGTTGAATATAAAGTAGGAGAAATGTATTTTAAGTTCTTGATGATGTTTTTATTTTTCCTATGATAATGATTTTGAGAATGTCATTGATAAATTTGAAGAATAAATCAGTCTGAAATTCACTGTGTGTTTAGAGGTTTACTCTTCGTCCACAATTCATCCCCTCAGGTGAAAGAATGAATAAAAACTACAGCCAACAAAGATGCTAACAAACTATTGTTTACCAACGACAGCATAAACTTCTCAACTTCATTTGGAATCTTTTGAATTGTAATGACCCTTCAGTATGTTGTGGACATTTGTGCCACATAAATACATTTAAAAAATGAAACGAGTGCATTTTTCAGAGTCAGAGTTTCTTTATTTGTCATGTGGTACATGTGGTGGAACGAGATTGTGTACCCAGGGTCCCAGTTACATCCAACAAAAGTACAACATGTAAAATAAAAACAGTAACAAGATCTAAGACATGAACTAAGAAAACTGTTAACTAAAAACAGGTATTTTGTGAGATTTAGTTTCATACTAAAGGACTTGCTGTTGGACCACAATGCAGCATGCATGAGTGATGGAGGAAGAAGGGGACACTTGCTCCCCACTTTACTACACTTAATATTTTGCACTCGTTAAAGCATGGCACCAGTCACTCAACAGATGAATATTCATCCAAAGGAGGAGACCGAATTTGTCTTTGAAGTTTTATTACAAAAATTATAAATCGAACTAGAGACAGGGAGGAGACCCAAGAATCACTGGAGAGACTACGTCTCTCTGTTGGTCTAGGAACACCTTGGAGTCCTCCCAGAAGAGGTGGCTGTGGAAAGTCTGGGCCTCCCTGCTCCAGCTGCTGCCCATGAGACCCGACTTCAGAACATGAATGGATTAATATTCATATGGTGGTGGTCATCTAATCTAAACAATAACTAACTGAGGATTAATTTCTTATCTAAGGAAAACTTTGCTATTTGAGCAGGAATTATTTGACTTTTATATATGCACAAATTTAGACAAACTTTATCGATTTGATAAATAGTTTGCTTTGGATTTTGGTTGAGAGAAGTTATTTAATGTGACCAGATCAAGTCATTTATTATCACTGCAAGCCAGGAAATGACTTATCAAATTGCACCAGTTAAAATGACATAACCAGACTCAAAGTTACATTTATTTCACCGGGTCTCAACTCCTTACCAGGTTAGTTTGAGGGCTGGGTTCACTCATGTTTCTGGGGTTTTGCTGGGGGATACACCACGAGGAGAGGACTAGCCAGGAACTGCCCAAGGTAGCTGGAAGTCACAGCTTCAGGGCTCGGTGAGGATGACAGGTGTGCGGGCCATCGACAGCCTTCAGCAGGCTCACACTTCAAGCTGAAAGTGTGAGTCTTGAAGAGAAACAACACACTTGATCTTCTGTAGTTACTTGAAACTTCAAGTTTGCATCTAACAAAAATTGTGCCTGAGCAAACATGTTTATTTGTTCAGGAATCAACAAAGACAAACATTAGACAAACACATCAGGATGGGGAAAACAGATGAAGTGTCACACATAGAAACCATCAGCTTTCAGAAATGTTCTGGAGATCTCTCAGACATTATGACTCCCCTCTGAAGTAAACAGATTCCAGCTCAAAACACTTACACACGTGTCTCTCAAGGAAAAGTTATTTTCTGAAAAACAAAACAGAGAAACATGTTAAACACATTATAACATTTCCCATGATTTCATTATAATTATTGTAAACTATCCACCTTATTCCTGGTGCCTCTACTGTAGAAACAAATATGTAAGAAACATCTGGTCTGACACCAGAAGTACCAGAAGCACAGTCAGCAGTTTGTTCAGCAGAGAAAATACTGTTTTAGTTTTGTTAACATTTATTTAACAAACGTAACATTTACAAAATTGTCCAACCAGAAATCAGGCACATGCTGTGATGTTCGCGGCTGCATGAACAACCAGACCAAACTAAATCAGTGGCTACAACAACAGTGCATTTAACATGGACCCAAAACAAAAAAAGTGTTCCTGTGAAAAGCTGTATAGTTTCCATCTCCTACCCAAAGAAAACGCACCCATCAGTCCTCAATGACTATAGACCTGTTGCCCTGATATCCCACATCATGAAGGTCCTAGAGAGACTTCTGCTGACCCACCTGACTAGACAAACAAGCACATATCAGGACCCACTACAGTTTGCTTATTGGCGTGGACTTGGAGTTGAAGATGCCATCATACACCTGCTTCAGCAAACTCACTGTCATCTAGAAATGGCAGACAGTACTGTGAGAGTCATGTTCTTTGATTTCTCCAGTGCATTTAACACAATCCAGCCTGGTTTATTGTAGTCCAACCACAAAGTAGGATGCAGGTTTTCCTCCGTCGGCCATTTGTCAACAAAGTGAAATGAGTACACATACAACGTTTTGGGTGGTCTCATAGTTCAGCTTTTAAGCCACATTTTTTAAAATTCCTCATCTTTGGTACTGGAGCGGCTGTGGCTGAGTGGTTAGAACAGTCGTCCTCCAATGCAAGAGTTGTGGGTTCGAATCCACCAGCAATCACATGTCGAAGTGTCTCTGGGCAAGACACTGAACCCCTCGTTGCCTCCAATGTGTGTCCCATCGGTGTATGAATGTGATCTAAAGCTCTGATTAGTCTCTTTAGAATGATTTGTTCAATTAGCTTTGTAGAGATCTAGTAGATAGCTGTATGAATGGGTAAATGAGGCACAGATTGTAGTGTAAAGCGCTTTGAGTATCGATCAGATAGAAAGGTGCTATATAAGTACAGTCCATTTACCATTTAAATTCAAAGCAGTCTGCTCCTCAGATTGCATTAACTTATCATTTTTATATGAAAGTTTCTGTTAACTTATTAATTTTGCATTTGATTGTTTCTGTTCAGTGCCCTGAGACAACTTCTGTTGTGACTTGGCGTTGTACAGTATAAATACACTGAATTTAATTGAACTGACATGTCTTTTTTTAACCCCGCCTATAAAAAGAATCGGAATTGGGAATCGATAAGCATCGCAATCGAAGCGAGGAATCGGAATCGCTCAAATTCAAACAATGTCCAACCCTACCTGTCTCCCTCCCTGAAGGCTCTTCTTTTTTTTTTCTGGTTTAGCAGTTCCTTCAGGTCAGTGGTGATCCAGGGTTTGTTATTGGGGAAGCATTTCGCTGTTCTGGTGGGGATGTTGTTGTTTACACAGAAATTTATATAGTCGTTCACACACAGTCATGGCATTGATGTCCTCTCAATGTGTCTGACACAGTGCATCCTAGTCTGTAGTCTCAAAACAACCCAGCAGGGCTTCTTCAGCTTCCATTGACCATTTTCTCACTATTCTCTTTATTACAGGTTGCCTCTGAACAAGGGGTTTATATTTTGAGCAGAGAAACACAAGATTGTAATCTGATTTGCCAAGAGGGGGGGTCTTGCTTGAGCGATGTATGAATCCTTGACGTGCATAAAACAAGTCCAGCATTTTGTTTTCTCTGGTAGAGCAGCTGACAAACTGTTGGGATGTCAGAAGTGTAGCAGAGAGTGAGACATGATTAAAATCCCCAGATATTGCAACAAATGCACTAGGGTGTTGTGTCTGTAGCTTAGCAACCTCGGAGCTGATGACGTCACATGCAGTCTCGGCAACAGCATTGGGTGGAATGTAAACAGTTGCCAAAATAACACTGTTGAACTCCCTTGGTAAATAATATGGATGACAACTTAGTGCTAACAGTTCAATATCTGCATTTCTCTGTTTTTCTTTTGATGCTTGTAATTAATTTTCAGTACAATCGTGATTTTCATTGTTACTTTTTTTCAAGAAATTACTCCCATTGATTTTATTGTTAAGCACTTTGGTATCTGCTGCTGTTTTAAAAGTGCTTTATAAATAAAGTCGACTTGACTATATTTAACCTGCTGTGGATCCGTTGTATAATATCAGAAAATGCACACATTTTATATTGAAACATAAACTTTATTTGACTCCATTAAAATTACACATTAGATTGGCCTGATCACAGCTTGACTATAAAACAGAAAGGTTTTGGTATGAAAACTCTTGATAAAAGCCATGCAACATTAGCATTATACTGCATCCTGACAGTTTCGCTTTCTTTTAGCATAGCCCACAAACATAGCTCAGCATAACAGTGATTAGCACATGTATGTTTGTGTGAAGCAACAACTTCATTTTTTGATGAAGTGAGATATGACGTCCATGGGCAGCGGAAAGATGATGGTGGAGTTCTTCTCGGCTGCAATGGTGTTGAGGGTCTGCAGGTAGCGAAGCTGCAGAGCCGATGGGGACTCTGCAATCACAAGGGATGCTTCCTTTAGAGCACGAGATGCATTCATCTCCCCTTCTGCTGCAATCACCTATAACAGTATAGAGACATAAGTTAATAATAACAAATAATCACAATTTGACATGGTGCATGCGTCTTTATTGGTCCTTTCTGAGCTTGTTTTGCACTGCATGTCCTAACCTTAGCCCTGGCCTCTCGTGCTGCCTCTGCTTCGGCAGCCATTGCTCTTTGCAGCTGAACGGGTAGCTTCACATCTTTTATCTCCACACGCTCCACCTTGATGCCCCAATTGTCTGTAGCCTCATCCAGGTTGAACTGGAAAAGACAAAAATAATTGATGGTCTCAAACTTCAGGCTTATAATTAAATATGATATTTATAATGGGTTTTTGTTGTGCATTTAGAAAGAAAGAAGGGCATTGTTCTGCTCACCACTAATGTGTGTACATTTCATGTACACACCACACGTCAAATTAGAGACTGAAAGTAAACAAGGCCTACCAAACACATCCCTCTTCATGTAATTCAGTACAAAAAGCTATAACTGCAGTTAAATTCAGGTGGGAAAAAAGGGTTACACCACAATGTAACAAAATTATACAAGACACATATTTCCTCTTGGGAAAAAAAAACATCAACATTTTCTACACGCACCGAATTTGTGTTGGCCCAAATGTCCTGTAAAGTGTGACTAAATGATATGAGGAAGAAAAACCTGCACTGCCTTGAAAAATATTGACTTAGTTTAAATTCCACTTGCGAAGAATAAAAAAGCAACTAAAATGCAGAGCTGGAACGTGTTGAGTTTCTGTACCTGCATGCTTTGAGAAATGCCCTCTCGATCAGACAAGACCTCAGCCAGGTTCTTAGTACCCAAAACGTTTCTGAGGGTGGTCTGAGCCAGCAATCGAGTGGAAAAGTCAGCATTAGTCACGTTGGCAACAGAGGCGATGGGATCACTGACCCGGAAGTACACCACGCCATCTACGCAAACAGTAACTGAGTCCTTCGTCAGGATCTAGGGGAGAAATACATGATCCAGATGATGCATGGCCACAGACTTTTAAATAAAACTATGCACTTTTGTTTAAACATAAAAATGTTATCAGAATTCTGTAAATGTACATTTTCCTCAAACGTGTGCAAAGTTCTGTGCCACTTGCCTCTTGTGGAGGAATGTCAAATGAAACGGTTCTCAGATCCACTTTCACAATAGAATCGGTGCAAGGCAAAATAAAAAAGATTCCTGTTCATGAAAAAAAAGAACTATGATTATTTTATTAATTTATCTAAATTAGAGAATCTTTTATCACAACTGATGAAGAAAAACAAATCTTCACCCGGTCCTTTGGCCTTCCTGTCTGTGATGCGTCCCAGTCTAAAGATGACGGCTCGCTCGTACTCCTGAACAATCTGAGCCAACAAAAACAATCACTTCACAGCTGCAGTAAAGAAAATGCTTTTTGTTTGCTCTTTTCTTAAAGGGATCTCGGACTATTTGCACAAAATGACCTAAATAAAGGCAGATGGCCGCTCGTCCTGAGCCTGGTTCCACTGGAGGGTTCTTCCTGTTGAAAGGGAGGTTTTCCTTTCCACTGTCTCCTTTGTGCTAGCTCAGGATGGGAGAATGCTGTTTCTTTACACAGATAAACTTTACTTTGTATACTTTTATAATGTTTGTGAATGTTTCTGTTCAGTGCCATGAGACGACTTGTGTTGTGACTTGGAGCTACAGAAATAAACTGAATTGGATTAAACATATTGTCATTTCTCTGTTCTCCTAAAAGTTATTGTTTGTGACTTGTAAA